GTGGGTTCTGGTCCTTTGGGAAGCAGAGTCTGATCTGCACAGCTTCGGCCAGGGGGTCTCACTCCTCCCCCAGGGAGTTCCCACACTGCAGGCGGAAGCAGAGGAATCCTCTCTCCAGCAAGGAGGTATCAGACATGGGGTCATCTCCCCTATTACTGGACTCATCTACACACCCCATCAATCACATTATCTCTGCATCAGCCACAAGACATCCACATGTCTGCTGTTGTCACCCTCTGCTCACTTACTGCACACACTTAACCACTGTGTACTGCACAATCACACCTGTACACTAACATCACTGCATCTGTATACTGACATCACTGCACCTGTATACTGACATCACTGCACCTGTATACTGACATCACTGCACCTGTATACTGACATCACTGCATCTGTATACTGACATCACTGCACCTGTGTACTGACATCACTACACCTGTGTACTGACATCAATGCACCTGTATACCGACATCACTGCACCTGTATACTGACATCACTGCACCTGTATACTGACATTCCTGCACCTGTATACTGACATCACTGCACCTGTATACTGACATCACTGTAACACTATTTTGACATTATTATATATGTATACTGACATAAATGTATCTATATAAATAACTGCACCTGTATTCTGACATCACTGTATCTTTATAAATAACTGCACCTGTATTCTGATATCACTACACCTGTATACTGACATCACTGCACCTGTATACTGACATCAATGCACCTGTATACTGACATCACTGCACCTGTATACTGACATCAATGCACCTGTATACTGACATCAATGCACCTGTATACTGACATCACTGTATCTGTATAATTAACTGCACCTGTATTCTGACATCACTGCACCTGTATACTGACATCAATGCACCTGTATACTGACATCAATGCACCTGTACACTGAAATCACTTCACCTGTATACTGACATTACTGTAGCTATATAAATAACTGCACCTGTATACTGACATCACTGCACCTGTATACTTTCATCACTGCACCTGTATACTTTCATCACTGCACCTGTATATTGACATCACTGCACCTGTATACTGATATCACTGTACCTGTATACTGATATCACTGTACCTGTATACTGATATCACTGCACTTGTATACTGATATCACTGCACCTAAATAATAATATCTCTGCACCTGTATTCTGTTAACACTGTATCAGTATCTTGACATCATTAGATATGTATACTGACATAACTGTATGTTTATTAATCACTGCATCTGTATTGTGATATCACTGCACCTGTGTACTGACATCACTGCACCTGTATACTGACATCACTGCACCTGTATACTGATATTTATTTACCTCTATAAATAACTGCACCTGTATACTTATATCACTGCACTTGTATACGGACATCACTGTAGCTATATCCACTGACATGATTGTACATGTATACATAAATGCACATGTATACTAACTTTGCTGTACATGTATGCAAACCTAAACCTGCTTTTTACTGTGGGTATCATTGTACTTGTAATGTACATCACTCAACCTGTATACATATGTCACGGTATGTGTACACTAACATAATTGTATGTATTTGTATTGTCTACACCAATGTACATGTGTACATAACTGTACCTGAACATGAATATCACTGTATACGTTCACCGACAGCCCTGTTCACTGTAGTCGCAATCACTACACCTGTATACTGAAATTACTCTACGTGGATATATAACTGCATCTGTATACTGACATCACTGTATCTCTATACTGACTTCATTGAATCTGTATAAATCACTGAACCTGTATACTCACATCCCTGTACCTGTATATCACAGTATACCTGTGTAGTGATATCACTGTATTTGTATACATATATGTATCTATTGGATGTACAGGTGTCAAATAACCTGTATACTGATAACACAGTACTTGTATATAAACTGTACCTATATATATATAAGTATACTCCTATAGTGAAAACCCTACAGGTAATACTGGAACTGTATACTGGATATGTATACCTGCTTCACTGTGCCACCATGATTATATCACTATATATATATACCACCATATTTATATACCTGCTTCACTGTGCCACCATGATTATATCACTATATGTATATACCTGTCTCACATATACCACCATGATTATATCATTATATGTATATACCTGCCTCACATATACCACCATGATTATATCACTATAAGTATATACCTGCTTCACTATACCACCATAATTATATCATAATATCTGTATACCTTTAAGGGGAAACCCGACAGAAAAACACACTAAACACACTTCACATTAGAGGACCCCTTCACATCAGAACCCTCATTCTCATTAGAGTCTCCCCATCCTTCACATCCGGAGCCCCCCATTCACATTGGAGTTCCACCTTTCACACCAGGAGCCCCCCTTTTAACTTTAGGAGCTTTCTTTTCACATCAGAGCCCCCCTTCACATCAGAAGCCCCCCTTCACACCCTGAGTCTTCCCTTTCACATCAGAATCCCCCCTTTCACATCAGAGTCCTCCCTTTCACATCAGAGTCCCCCCTTTCACATCAGAGTCCTCCCTTTCACATCAGAGTCCCCCCTTTCACATCAGAGTCCTCCCTTTCACATCAGAGTCCCCCCTTTCACATCAGAGTCCTCCCTTTCACATCAGAGTCCCCCCTTTCACATCAGAGTCCTCCCTTTCACATCAGAGTCCCCCCTTTCACATCAGAGTCCTCCCTTTCACATCAGAGTCCCCCCTTTCACATCAGAGTCCTCCCTTTCACATCAGAGTCCCCCCTTTCACATCAGAGTCCTCCCTTTCACATCAGAGTCCCCCCTTTCACATCAGAGTCCTCCCTTTCACATCAGAGTCCCCCCTTTCACATCAGAGTCCTCCCTTTCACATCAGAGTCCCCCCATCCTTCACATCAGAATCTCCCTTTCACATCACAGTCCCCCTTTCACATCACAGTCCCCCCCCCCTTTCACATCAGAGTCCCCCCATCCTTCACATCAGAATCCTTCTTCACATCAGAGTCCTCCCTTTCACATCAGAGTTCCCTCATCCTTCACATCAGAGTCCCCCCTTTCACCTCAGCTCACATCAGAACCCCCTTCACATCAGAGTCCCCCTTCACATCAGAACCCCCTTCACATCAGAGTACCCATCACATCAGGGTCCCCCTTCACACCAGAGTCCTCCCTTTCACATCAGAGTTCCCCCATCCTTCACATCAGGAGCCTCCTTCACATCAGGGCCCCCCCTTTCCCCTCTGAGTTTCCTCTTCACATCAGAATCCCCCTTTACGTCATGGTTCCTCGCCCTTCACATCAGAGTCCTTAGTCCACCCCTTCACATGAGTCCTACCATGTCATCAGGAGCTGCAACTCCTGGTAGAGGGTGGGGATGAGAGGAGACCTGGGTAAAAGTAAACTTCTGTCCTTTTCTGAATGGATCCCACCCTTCCTGGATTAGTTGGCCTTCACTATGGAAAGGCAAGACGCTCTGTAAACATTTTGAGGCACAACTGAGGAAGCCAGAAGGCACCCAGGTTGAGATACACTCATCCAGAGCAAGACACTGTAGTGGCTACAATGAATGCTAGTTTACAGTCCTTGGCTTTTTTTTACTTAAAAAGGATACCTTTCTCTTTGTTGGGTCCTACATGGGAAAACTTTTGCACCTTCAAGAACAAAAGTGTTTTTTATCATCTTTAACCCCGAAAATAGGTGGTTCTAATGCAATCCAAAACTGGTGGGGATACACTTTAATTCTGATGTACTGTCATAACTTTCATGCATGACACCTATACTTTTGTTGGTAATTATGAAATTCATGAGTCTCTTGCAGAATCCAAAGATGTCAAAAGATGCTAAATGTAACAGTGCAGAGCAGGTTCCCTTTATGGAAGAATGGAAGGCAAGAAGAGAGAGAATGAGGTTACGCTCCGTTTCCTCAAGTTTTGTTGGGAGCAGGTCCATAGACATCCAGGTCCAGCAGGAAGTGGATCTCCAATCCCAGTCATGGTCTTCAAATTTGGGTCAAGATCATGAAAAAGATATGGGAGGAGTGAAAGCAACTACATCATCTATCAAAATCCAGTCTCTGGTGACTGCAGAGATTGAAGCTCACAAGCCTGTTACTTCAAAAACCAAGGAGATGAAAGGGAGCCCTCAAAATAAACATCGCACTCAGATTGAGAAAAGGAAGCTACGGGAGAAGAGGAGGCCTACTGGAGTAGTAAATATGTTTCCGTCTGAGGCAAGTGAAAGCTTGCACTTACAGCAAAGTCAACCATATGTCTTGTTTTTGAAGAAGTTTTCAATGTAGATAATTACACCGAGCTGTGTTCTTCTGATTAGAGTTGGTTGGTCTATTTAACAACTTATTTAAAACCATTACCTGAATTCAATAAAAAAACATTTTAAGATGGTTATACAGTCTTAAAGTCCAACTCCAACAAAACATTTATTTCTGTGTAGGATAGAAAGAGCTACATATGCATCATCTCTCAACTATTTATGGCAGTCTGTGTCCCCATTGGATTTTCTCCCATTACCTGTCCTTGCCCTTGACAAAGAAAGAGTCAAAGTAAAAGGATGTGTGTAAAATTTTTCCAATGGGGACAGACACAGCTAACAAAACATATATAGCAGGAATAAAGCAGATGAAGGCAAGACCTTCTTTTTTTTTGTATATTAACTCTTTATTTCACATTTTTTTGCATGCAAAACAATATTCAAATTCAAACATTGTACTCCACATTCCTCTCTAACTAGGTAACATGATTTTACAGCTGTCTCTGCATTCTTGACCCAAAGACACCTGTTCCCTTCATTTGGTATTATGTTGTCGTGGGGACAAAAATTTAAGGAAAACCTTTCTAGTGGGGGTCAAAGACAGCAATAAAAATGTGACAGATGTTGTAACTCTTTACACTGTGGCCAAAACTAAAAAAAGTCCTCACTAGAGTTGAGCTTCAAGTTGTAGCTAACCCTTTGGAAATTCAGACCATGATGGGTAATTTGATAAATTGTACATTTCTGTGATTAGCATACTTTGATACATATTAGAGAAATTACAATGTTTTCTTGTCAGAATAACAACACATTCCCACTATGTTTGCATTTAACAAATGCCCTAGCTCCCATTTGGAAGTGGATGTTTCCACTTTTTAGCAATAAAGGGCCTGTGGTCCTGCAAAGTTTTTTGTGGCTAACTTTGTACCATCTTGAATTTAGCTTGGGCATCATTAAAAAAAAATTAAAAGACCTGTGTGTAGCCTCCTACATCATGAGATTGTTGGAGTTTGGGCAACAGTTATCCGTTATAGCTGTTGTGAATATATTTAGTTGTTTCCTAATAAGGGTTGTGTCATGTATTCAAAGAAAGCAGGAGCATAAGCTGTCTTATGGAGGAAGTCCAACTTAAATTCTACTTTATGTACTCAATTTTGTCAGGGGAAAGTAGGTATATCCGGCAACCAAGTACTACGCAGCGGTTTAGTAATACATGCTTATGGTAAGTAATGTAGCAGTGCCATGATCTGGCATTTACTGAGCAGACAGGATAGTTATCAGTAAGGCACGAAGCGACCCAATAGTAATGAATTTAGTGGCCCAATTGTGGTGAAGTAGGTTGTGCTTGTGTACGCATGAAGAAGAGATCCTTCATGGACAGCTTCACTGTATTTGATAAACTTTTAAGATGTAAAATGGATAGCTTTTGAAGTAATTATTTAGCTGTTGAATATTAGGAGGGGTATCAGTGATGTTGCTGAATGAAGCGGAAAGCTTCTGTTAGGAACTCATTCAGGGCTCAATTACATTTTTGTGTTTCTGTTTGGAAAGCTTCACACGGTATACATACTGGGCTGGGCAGGTGGTATCAGTGTCTTCAAATGTAGAAAAAGGTAAGACATATATCTGAGGGTAATGCATTTTTGGGTTTGTTCCTGAATAGAGATCCCTTTTAATACACAGGAATGCCAGATTATCCAGAGTGGGAGGAACAGTTTGCCCAGTCAGTTCATCCTTAATGTGCACTATTGAGAAGATTCTACTAAAGCTCTGTAATTCCACTTCAACTAAGAAAATAAAGCTGGGAAGGTATAGATGAAGGGCTAAACATATCACATACTCTCCTCCAGAAAGGGCCTTTAGGTAATTGCAAGATTTGGCCATAGAGTTTTCCATAGTGGAAAGGCCCACACAACAACAAGGAAATAACAAGGAAATAATATAAGAGATCGAGGTGGACCCTGAGTGGAAATTCCTTGACTGTAGTTCTGTCACACTGGAAAGATGGAAACTTCCAGGGCCAGGCCTTTAGGTATTTGTTGAAAATCATATTATTTAGGAGGGGTAGATGCAGGAACCTAAAATTTGTCTGCAATCTCCATGCAATAGTTTACTATTGCCATGGATACAAAATCCAGACATTTAATTTTTTTAAGCAATTGTGGAAAATGTTCGCTGGCTGGGGATTAAAGTGGAATCATTATTTTAATAGCATCAACATACAAATCCCCTTTACAACAGCTATATACATTCATTTTGTTTTCATGAATCAGGAAATGTCAAGTAAAATAATCAGGAGGAGACCATGAATGTTTGGTTCCTGTTCCAAAACATGTTGTCCCAAAGTAACTAATTTCCTTGATTCTACTTCTTTGGTGGATGCTCATTTGGTCCAGAGAGTAGAGATTGAGGCATGCACTACAACTTGCATTCTAAACCCCTCAATAATATATCATGAATAACCGTATCTAATCACAGAATACAACTATAAACCATGTTGTGTGTATGTTTGAACACTGCATACTTTATAAGATGACTTCCAATTGTAAAAAAACCTCTTGTTAACCTTTAGGATCCTGATGAGAATGAAGACGTTAAAGAAAAGGAGGAACATAAAGAGCAAGAAGTGGTTATCCAGAGTCAGGTGAGAAACAAACTATCCAGAGGAGCCCAGCCAGTAGTTTGAGTGAATGTGTCAGTTTTTTGTACCTAATGGCAGCCTTTCAACTGGTGCTTGAAGATTATTTGAATTCTTCTTGCATTATACACCTTCACAATCCATATTTCATGTAATATACAGTATATTTAGATCAATTAAACAACTTTTTCATTTCAAATGGCATGGGGTGACCAGCACATGGCATCAGTTTTCACTCACGACATAAGCACTCAATCTATACATGTAGAATTGCTTATTCAATCCCATTTTAGTACCCAAATCCACACCTTCAGAAAGCCAACACAAACTCACCTCTTCAAAGCAATTATGGCGGCCGCTGTCAGAATACAAAGGAAACAGCAGATGTTTCATCCATCAAGGTCCGTAAGCGTTGATGGGGGAATCTGTTGTATTTTTTTTCATTTAGCCCGCGGGTTGAACGAAAAACATAGAACAGTATATGGCCAGCTTGCAGAGGAACTTTTTCCTTATCTTTGATATGACAAAAACACACCTTTAAAAATGTTTAGTAATGACAATCTACAAACACATACTTCTAGATAATTGCCGGCTTTTTATTCTTTGCATGCCTTAATTTTCCTTTCCTCCCCATTCTTCTCACAGTGGACATTTTTACTAAGGGCAGATTCATTTATCTCCCTTTACTTCCTGGAACTCTTGCACATGTAACTAGAACATGTGACCATGTACATCATCTCAGGGGAGGAAAATACCTTTCCCTGAGATCTTGTAAGTTTACAGATGAGATTTCCCAGCAATGCTCTGCTGATGTAACCTTCCCAGGATGCAATGCTTGGACACATTACATCACTAGTGTCCAATAGGACCAGAAAGTGGAAGAGCAATAATTGTAAGTAAAAGAAAAATATGTTTGTTTAACTAATGAATATAAGATGATTTCATATCACTATGCAGAGCTGCATGCTGAGGTGATTTTTAGTGAAAGGGTGTAAAAGTCCGCTTTAAGGCTTCTGTACAAGATGTCCAGCTTTACTAAGCACCATAGATAATCCAGCTATAAAAAAAGCAGGTCACAGATTTGCGGGCATGACACAGCTTTTATAATCAGGTCACCTTTGGTGCTCAGTAAAGCCAGTACAATGATATTTGCACCCCATATTTTTGACCTTTTTTAGGTAATCACTAGTTTGATGTTGTTATGGCTAAATATAGATTATATTTTACATTACATTTTATTTCAGCTCCTCTCAATTTAATTGTCATGTTTTGCAGGATTTGAGGATATCTGAAGGAACTTGCACAAACAGGTATGTTCTGGTCAGTCCAGTTCTGTGATATACATTGTATATAGTGAACATTCTCACAGAATACACTGTTTATCTGATTTCATCTGTGAAATAGTCGATTTGGAAAAATTCTCCAATTTAGCTCACTTTCTAATTCAGCTTATTTTGTCCTAGACTGTTCACTTCTCCTGCCTTCTCCAAACTCTTCACCATTTTGTGAACAACCCTGCTAATGTTTTTGTGTTCAAATATGTTAAAAAATTTCAACAATTTTCATGTTAAAATTGTACTTAATTTTTCAAATGACCGTACCCGACTGCACAGATGAAATACATATGTGTGGTCTGTGTGGAGTTCTGTGTAGATTAAATAGGTGGTCTTTTAAATCTGCCTATACGTTTGCCACAAAAACTTTTCCATTGTGAAGCACCTAAAGATTTTCCATGGTTTTTTGGAACACATATATAATCTTCTGTATTATTCCAGGACAGATGTGCATTCACTGGGTCCTGCTCCAGACAATGTGGATAACAACCTGAAAGAAAGGCAGTCATGGATGGAAGAACTGCAGAAGGTATGAGTTTGAGGCTTTGATAACCATAAAGGTGTACCTTCAGACACTTACCTACGCTGCCTAGCCCTACTGACCTAGACTTACACTCAAAACCCCACCAACCCTCTACAGATGGTTATGTAGCACCCTCCTGACCTCAGAAGCATGTGCGGGACCTCAGATACATGTGTTACAGTTCACAATCTCGGCTTAGCCAAAACAAAAATCCATACTTGCAGTTGGTTTCTATGAGCAACAGCAATAAATTTTCCGCTGAGCCCCGCGTTGGACGCCAAGAATGTAGCACCCCCATGAACCCAGAAAAATGTGAGGGACCATATAGGTAGGGAGGACTGAGATATCAAGTCATGGATAATTCTTTAGTTGGTTGTGGGATGCGAATATAAAGCGGGTGCCAGTAACTTTAAGAGATTTAAAGAGTTTATTTCTCCACCAGCTCACATGAGAGAGAGGACTAAGGGCTACAGACACCTAGGACAGTACAGACTCCAGACTCACAGACCACGTCCCAGCTTCACAGTGCAGGAGCCTTTATCACCAATGCAGCAACACTGTGTGCGACACATTTAGCTGGTTAGAGACATAGCACAGAACTCGTAAGCAAGACACCAGACTCCCTGCAAGGTCCAAGCCAAATTCCAACTCCTCCGGCACCTTCAGCAGATGAGGTTCCTCCCTGCTGCTCCTTCCCAGGAACAGCTCCACTCCTCCTGAGAAAAACTACCTCCAGAAAGGCAGAACAAGCTTAGGACCATACCCAGTCCTTACAGCATACCTCTTGTGGCCTCCCAGGATCAGCAGCAGGGAAGAGACACTGACAAGGTTAGCCCCAAATATTTATGTCACTTCCCAGCATGCACCACTGGCACAGATATTCATAATGGCCAGTGAGACACATTTTTTTTTTTTTATAAATTAGATAATGGATGTTCTTGCTCTATTACCAGGTCACACCCAGCAGCAGGCAGAAGCAAACGATAACACTGGGCTTAGGGGAAACCAAATGAGCACAGAACTAATAATCAGCTTGGACCCCATTTACACTGAGCGTTTTGTAGCGTGATTTCTACTAACAAATTGCTCTAATATGAAGCTCAATGTAGCTCTTCCAATGCATTTCCATGGAGATGTTCACACCTTGCAGCTCAGTGTCGCCTGTAGCTTGTAGCTGAAGCTTGTTGCTCGAACATAATCTATTTTTCGGCGGATTTCAAGTGATTTGGCCCCAATAGACTTTGATAGACTGCCAAAAGGAGCGCTACATAGCGCGACAAAATGTGCACTTTAACACAATGTAGCTCAAAGTCGATCAGCTCAAATCAGCACTGAAAAAGCTTGTAGCACAGTGTGAATGGGGTCTGAGACTGGCTACAGTCCAGCAGATCTAGATTTAAGGAGTCACCCTGCTTAGGACAAGGTGGCTAAACTTACATACCTGAATAAGACAGCCATATGAGAGCAGAGCAAATCTCTCAATGTCATATAATGTCATTATATGTTACCAGCTAGATCCTCTGCAGCAGTGCCTCCTCCTGGGCTGCATCTTTAAAATAGAATAGAAAGGACAGCCAGATTATGTGACATGATTTTAGAAGATGATTTTTGATATTTCCTTTTTTTTTTTTAAATAATGTGAAGTAAAGGTTTTGAATTCATATACTGAGGGCTATGTCATTGTATTAGTGCCTACCTTCATTTGTTTAATACGAATATTACCAGGCAATATAAATATATGTAGCCCTGGATTATGCCTATGTCAAGGTTGTGTGATGGGAATTGCAGAGCTGATTGGTGCTGTGAGCTGTGTTTGTGTTTTATTAGACAGTTAGAGAAAAGAGACAAGATAATCTTAAACTGACCTCTCAGTTGAATGACACGGAGGGATCAGTGCTCCAGCTGCAAATAGAAATGAAGACCTTGGCTCAGGTAAGCATTCTGTAAAACCAAAGTTTAGAAATAGGTTTCCATTGGAACAGAGCTAGGCTTAAAGGAATGCTTCTTTCCCCTGCTGCTCCTTGAGCTACTGGTACTTCTACGTATAAAGGAACATATATATATCCTTCCTCTTTCTCTCATGTGACAGCAACTGCTGCTAGATAATTGGCTCAGCTCAGTCAGATGGGGCTGGGAGATGGTCCTTAGCCTGAGCTTACTATAGGTTTCTTTCCTCATTCTGAGTTGCAGAATGAATGAGCAAGGAAGCAAAAGGAGAGAAAATGGTGCTGGGGAGAGGTCCCTGCATATGCAAAATGTACTGTAGGTCTGCTTTAAAAGCCAACCTAGCATGCATTGTTCATAACAATCAAAATTTTAAACTAAGCCCCATAGAAGGAATACAGCCAACTTCCCAGCGTTTCTGTTTTTAATTTGAATATAATGTAGCTATACTGTTTAAAATGCTTTTTAGAGAATAAGGGGTCCAGCCAGGCCTATGCATTGTGGAAACACACGCTAAAATGTGCATATAATGTGCACTACCATAATGCAAGTACTGCGGCATACTGTGTTGCATTGCAGTTGATTTTGACCATGCCGCCCCAATGCATGGTAAACCATCTGGAGCACACCACAATGCATAGTAATGCACTACCATGCATTTTGGTGAGCTATGTGGGTCTTATGTGGTGCATTGGCAGCCCATTCAAATAAACGGGCTGACTTAACGTAATATACATTAAAGAGCAAGGTAACACGACTGGATAGACTTAAATCATGAAATATATTCTAATATACTAAAATATACTAAAAACTTACACCACAATATGAAGTTTAAGGAAAATTAGTGATCTTTTTAGAATTTGCTCTATCCTTTACACAGAAGCAGGAAACAATGCTATGGTAACTATTATAGTTTATTATAAATATTACTTTGGACTGATACTCTCTTATCAAGTGCAATCGAATCAACATGCTAGCAATAATGGGAGTAGGGTAGAATGGTGCAGCACAGCAATTCCTGGAGGAGAATTAAAATGCTAGGCAGGTAGGCTGTACAGCATACAGGTATGTTTCTTAAGACTTGATTTTCAGTTTTGACTGGAATGTAACTTCTAGCTAAAAATTCCAGCCTGCCCATACCCTGCCCTAAATATGTCCATGTCTGAGCAAAATCCAGACCTTGCTCTCTCAAACTGTTCTAACCTAATAAAAATGTAACCTTGTTCAAAATATGTGCCCATTCTATTAATGATTGAAATGATTAACCCCATTTTATGTTTCATATTAAACTGTCAAACGGTAACATACCCCATGTAAAAGAGGGGTTTGTCTTAGGTATTTAAAGTTGTCCATGTTGACTTATCAGTGTTTGATGCTAATGGCCTCCCCATCTCCTCCAGGAGACATTGACGGGAACAAGCTACTGTATATATATATAGGCAAAAATACTTGTAGATAATCAGTAGGGATGAGCTCCGGTTGAACTGATCCCGATCCGAACCTGAGCTCCTCTGAATTGAAAGGAGCTCCTGAAAACACAGAAGGAAGCTCCTTCTGCTGCCACCAGGGAAACTGTGGCTAGAGAATTCCCTGTTTGCAGGTGCACGTAAGCAAAGAAATGGGATGCAGTGAAGTCATTAACTTTATATGGCCACATGGCTATATTGCATCGATGATATTTACCTAATATTCTGCTTGTAGCCATATAAGGTCAATTACATCAACAGAAGCATCCCACCCCTTTGTTTATGTGTAGCTGCGAGGCCTGGCCCACAGCTGATTGGGCGGGTGGTTCTAGCACACATCCAACATCCAGGTTCGAAGGAGCTCAGGTTTGGTCTGAACCTGAGCTCATCTCTAATAATAACCTCAGATGACTCAAATTGGGCCTAATTAGCCATTTTCCCTCCCCGGTGTCATGTGACTCGTTAGTGTTACAAGGTCTCAGGTGTAAAAGGGGAGCAAGTGTGTTAAATTTATTGTTATCGCTCTCACTCTCATACTGGTCACTGAAGGTTCCACATGGCACCTCATGGCAAATAACTCTCTGAGGATCTGAAAAAAAGAATTGTTGCTCTACATAAAGATGCCCTAGGCTATAAGAAGATTGCCAAGACCCTGAAACTGAGCTGCAGCACGGTGGCTAAGACCATACAGTGGTTTAACAGGACAGGTTCCACTCAGAAGAGGCCTCACCATGGTCGACCAAAGAAGTTTAGTGAACATGCTCAGCGTCATATCCAGAGGTTGTCTGTGGGAAATAGACATATGGGTGCTGCCAGCAGCATTGCTGCAGACGTTGAAGGGGTGGGGGGTCAGCCTGTCAGTGCTCAGACCATGCGCCGCACGCTGCATCAAATTGGTCTGCTTGGCTGTCATCCCAGAAGGAAGCCTCTTCTAAAGATGATGCACAAGAAAGCCCGCAAACAGTTTGCTGAAGACAAGCAGAATAAGGACATGGATTACAGGAACCATATCCTGTGGTCTGATGAGACCAAGATACACTTATTTGGTTCAGATGGTGTCAAGCATGTGTGGCGGCAACCAGGTGAGGAGGACAAAGACAAGTGTTTCTTGCCTACAGTCAAGCATGGTGGTGGGAGTGTCATGGCCTGGGGCTGCATGAGAGCTGCCGGCACTGGGGAGCTACAGTTCATTGAGGGAACCATGAATGCCAACATGTACTGTGACATACTGAAGCAGAGCATGATCCTCTCCCTTCGGAGACTGGGCCGCAGGGCAGTATTCCAACATGATAACGACCCCAAACACACCTCCAAGACGACCACTGCCTTGCTAAAGAAGCTGAGGGTAAAGGTGATGGACTGGCCAAGCATGTCTCCAGACCTAAACCTATTGAGCATCTGTGGGACATCCTCAAACTGAAGGCGGAGAAGCGCAGCTTTTTGGGTCCAATTTGGACATTTTCACTTAGGGGTGTACTCACTTCTGTTGCCAGCGGTTTAGACATTAATGGCTGTGTGTTGAGTTATTTTGAGGGGGCAGCAGATGTACACTGATATACAAGCTGTACACTCACTCCTTTACATTGTAGCAAAGTTTCATTTCTTCTGTGTCGTCACATAAAATGATATAATACAATATTTACAAAATGTGAGGGGTGTACTCACTTCTGTGAGATACTGTATATACTGTAATACATTTTTTTGTATTAATGAAGTTATGTTTCTTTTTATGTGGTCTATTAAATATGCTCACTCGATGGAGTACCTGTAAAGCCCCTAATGAAGGTTGCAATGCGCTATATCTTATTTTATTAGTACATGATGATGCATGTGATCAAAACCAACACATTTCTAACTTCAGAGCTAACTGAAGAGTGCTTGGAGCACCAGAAATATCTGAAAGGATATTTTAAATAATACCAAGTATTCAACTGCTTTATGACTAAAAGAGGACCAGATGATTAATGTCATTACTAGAAACCATAGCAAGCACTGTTAGCCTAACATCTAAAGGTTTATCTATATAATGTGGAGGGGATTTATTTCTGGGCCTGCTTCCAAATTGAAGGATATCCTGTTTGAGAAGAGTTGTATCCAGGCCCCTCACCAGAGCAGGCAATCTCTGGGGTCCCTACCATATATAGAAGAGAGCTGCCTGGGTGCTAATTTTAGCATAAATTGCTACAGCTTACCTTTTAAATCAAGGTCACTGTGATAGAAACCTAGCCTAATTATGTCTGGGACTCAGCACTAAATTACTACCACTCTGATTTATAGAAAACAAAAACGTTATTAAAAGAGTAGACAGAGGAGCCAGCAGAACTTTATGAACCTGGAGCTAGGGGCTATGTTGCATTTCTAGTTATTTGCATTCTCTGTGGTTATGGTATCACCAATATAAATGTAATGACTTTACTGAGATCTTGGAGATTAGGAAACAAATAATTAGGAAGTAAGAATTCCTATTGATGGAACCTCGGTTTACTTATGACAAGGTTAGTCTTTTGGGAGGGTTAACATTTGGGTTATGCCCACATGTGGGTTTAGTGTTTAATCATCCAAAATGATTGTTGCACGCCAGATACATTACTAATTTTGAAGTACGGTAGTCAGTAAAGTGGAACTCTGGGAAAACAAAATTGAAATACATTGGGGGGAATTTATCAAAGCAGTTGCAAGTGTTTGAACTTGCACGGAAAATATTTGCACCAGATTTATCAAGCTAGTGTAATGTTGTTGATAAATGAGGTTTAACAAGTGCAGATGAAAACACGTGCAAAAAAGGTGCAAAAAACATGGGGGGGG